TAACAAATTAGTATTTGATCACTGTTGGTAATTCTAAAAATCGAGCAAAATAATCAGAGCCTTCTAAGTATGAAAAGCCAAATTGAAAAACAAGTTAATGAAACGAGAATATCAGCAGTCTCGTTTAAATTCATCATTTCCTAAGTTCTATATGGTCGATACAATGACCTTGTCAGTAAATACAATTTATAATTGAGTCGAGAGCTGACTGACGTTTTTCATACCAATTGTAAGTCCATTATTTATACACTGAATTAACGACAACTTTTTTCTCCGTAATTCCTTGATTGTGACAAAAGCACACGGTGGTTGTGACCGGTCGGTGGGGATGTTCACTCCTCCATGGCACCTGATCCCACTCTGATGTTTCAGATGTCCGTGTTTGCTCTGCTTTTATTTTGGTTATTGTTTAATGGACTTTGAGATTGAATACTGTTCGTTATCTCCATATCATTATTCCACTCGTACACTCCTGCACAAACATCTAACAACATCCTATATCGAATTCTATCAACCAATCAAACCGTTACTGGAGCTATTCCAAATTTTACTTCTAACCTGGCACTCTTTGCGATGCTGTTAGATTGTGTGAACTGCATTTTTGAAAATTTAATTTTGCTTTTGAAATGTATTATTATGATAAATTTGTCTGTATCTTAAACATTCTAGACCAATCAGACTAATATAAAGCAGACGAAAGACAACAATAATGTAATTTTGATTCAATCGAAGCTTTTGGATAGTTTTTCCATCGAAAAGAAAAGTTTATTAACGTTACTTTTTCCTGTCATTGAAAAAGTCAGGTATAGTGAGACTTCGCTCCATTTTGTGTAAATCAAGAAATGTATATTTTATTAGAGATTGTTCTATCTTACGTATCCGTATCCGTATACGTATCCGTATCGAGATATAAAAGGCATCTCGATCCCGATGTCTGAACCATTTAATACATTTTCCATCCCTGTTTGTGGTTAAATAAGCCACAGTCATGCATTGGAAAATAGCAAATGGAAATTTTTCTATTAAAAATACTAAACTGTTGTAAACCTCTATCATTTCGTAGAAAAATATTTATTTAAAAAAATGAATAAATAAATTCAAGTATAAAATATTTCATTTTAATTAGCTATTTTGTTTTAAAATTAAATTCATTTTGTTCCAAAATATTTGTAGGAAATCTCTTTTCTCTTTTTCCTCTCGCTAAATATCAGGATATTTTATTGATTTATTCTGAATTTGTCATATACCTCTACACGGAATAACGGTATCTCCCCCTCACACACACTGAAATAAAAAAAAATACGTTATCATCAACGTGATTGATAAAACACTGTAGGCGTTTTAAAGAGACTATTCAAACTGATTTCATAATTCGCTTCAGGACAGTTACAAGTATTGAGTACATACAGCCTGTTCAACTCCCTCCTTTCCCCTCCCCTCACATTGGCGTCAGAAGCAAATTTAAAGTAGGGAGGGGGGGGCTAATTGAAAGAGAAAGATATAAGACCTGAAAAACCCTGACATGCAGCAAAAAGTATTTAAACACTATTTTGTGTGTGTGGGCGGAGGGGGGGGGGAGGTCGAACTTTTTTCATTGCCATTTTTTAACACTACCACTTACTCTTCTTTGACTGCAATACAACATGCCTTTTGTAAGTGGAAAGAGAGCTTATCCTACACCTGCAGCCACCCTTCCAGTTCCGGCGTCTGTGCCTGACAATGTGTGCACACGACATTTGATAACGTCTTTTGATTATCATTCATTAACATCATTTGTGGTTTGATATAAAAACTATTTCCGAATATGGTATTCCAAAAATATAATCTCAAATCTTTTTTATGCTGAGATCAAAATAAATATAGCTCAACATTTTCAAAAAATACATCTTATTTTCTAAAATAAGTCTAATTGTCCATCGTGCTTATTTTCTTCTATTTTTTATCCGACTTTCCTTTTTATTCATATATACAATTTGGCCGAGATCGAGATCATTGTACACAGTGAAGAGAAGGAACTGCTTCAATGTAGCCAAGAAAAAAATCTCACATTAAAAGAAAAATTACAGTGATGAAATACATGTATTAAAGTTTTTTTTCAGATCTTGCTTTGTTCACTATAAACTCGATCATGTAACTTTCATAAAAAGAAGTTAATATGCAAATAGAATATTTTGAGAAAGGAAGATACAATGTACATCGTAACGTAGCATTTACTTTTCTCCCCCTTTATCGACAAGTGTTAAATCAATCGAGCACTACATATACTGCGTTTAATCGCAACACTGTCGGAAATTGTACAAAATCAATTCTCAAGCTCCTTGAAACCCTGGATACGCATAGGCGTCAGAACCAGGGGAAGGGGGGGGGGCTTAAGCCCCCCACCCCTCACCCCCACTTTCTTGCAAAGATAGACATTAGACATAATATAGGCATTTAAATGTGGGGTTTACCTTTTTTGTTGGTTTAACCCCCCTTTCAATTAACGCCCCACTATTTGCCTGCGCCGCCCATGATATGGCTATCGACCTACAATTTAGGGAGTGTATTTAAACCGCCCCAGAATTACCAGCTATTCAATTTTTTTCTGGAGAACTATGACCATCAAATACGTTATAATTAATGGCATAGAAGATAATAAAAAAGGAAAAGGGGATGGACGTTTTCAGTAAATTCTCCATTCACATTTGTTTTGCAATATGGTGAAATCTTTCCCAGTTTATGTAGAATTACATGTTTTTACAATTAATTTACAAGTTTGATACCCTAAGAAAGAGAGAGAGAGAGAGAGAGAGAGAGAGAGAGAGAGAGAGAGAGAGAGAGAGAGAGAGATCAAATAATTCAAATCATGCTTGTTTTTTATAATTTTTTTAAAACTTTTACCCCCTCCCCTTCTCCCCCAAAACATGAAGCATAAGGCGTGTACAGCAACTGATATATTTTTTATTAAAAATATTACACTAAATATCATTTTTAAGTGAATAAGGTTAAAAATCAAACATGAAACGATGGAAATGTAACCAGATTGTTTAGACATCGGGATCGAGATGCCTTTCATATCTCGATACGGATACGGATGCGTAAACGGATAAAGATACGTCAGATAGAACAATATCTATTGCAAACTTTATGATTATCTTTCAAAAAATGGAGTGAATACCCTCTCATGGTATAAAAAAGATTAAAGTATGAGAACATGATCGACTTTGTTCTTATTAGTGTGTGTGTATGCTTTTCCAGATGCATATATTTTCAGTTTTTGTTGGATTTTTGTAAATTGTATTCTACATTTAGTATACTTTAGAATTAGATGAAATACCGGTATCAAAGAAAATTAAGATATAACTAGAATTGTTCAAACGGGACATAATTGCTCATTATGTCTTTAGAAATGAAACGAAGGCACAGCCTAATAAAAAAAATTAGACTAAATATACCAAACATGAATTGTACATTTTTCTTTTAGTAACCTTGAACTTGCACAGAAGACCTTGGGTCAAGGTCAGGACACACCCATAGATCATGAGGAATCTTTGTGTGAAATGAGAACTTACCAAGTTTATCTACAAGAAAGATATGGACCGAACACGAATTATAAAAAATATTAGTGACTTTGAACTTCTTCAAAAGACCTTGGGTCAAGATCATTACATACTCTTGTGTGAAATGAGAACCTACGAAGTTTATTCTTAAGAAAGATAAGGACTGGACACGAATTATGAATATTTTTCTTCCAGTGACTTTGAAGTTCCCCAAAACTACCTTGGGTCAAATTCATGACTCACCCATAGGGCATGGGCAATCTTTGTATGGAGTAATAGATTCTAATGTTCTTCCGTACATTGAAATACAATCTGTAAAGTAATAATGTACACAAATCTCTCATTCACAAATCTAACTACTAAAATACATGGATACCAAAATTATTAAAATTAGTGTAAATAGCATGGATGAGAAATATGCATTGAAGTTTACCAGCTTTACCAAATAACATGAATCCACATAAGACATTATTTTAGCCGAATTACGTCGTAGTAAATAGTTCGTAGTTTCAAAGACTGATAGTAATTAAGACTTTTATTCATTCTATACTCCATATAATACAGCGTAGTATTAATAAAACATTTGAACCCTATCAAAAATTAGCGTTTTACAATAGGATCATGGTAATATGTACGTTCATAGAAATTAAGACTTTTGTTCATTCTATACTCCATATAATAGTATTATTGGAGTTTTATGAAGAGACTTACTTTTACATTTGACGACTGACTTCTACAATTTTAACATAAACAAACTCTTATCACTAAAATGTAAAAGTATTAATAAACCATTTGAAAACTATAAAAAAATTACCCTTCAGCGTTTTACAATAGGGATTTGGTCATATTAACGTTTATAATATTAAGATTTTATACTGGAGATATATACAGTTCTATATTTTTTTTTCACACAGAGTATCGCCTCACGTGTTTCTTCACCTCCTTAATCACTCCCGTGTAATTAAACACTTCCTCTTTATCCCACATATCCTTATTTACCTGTCGTCGTATCCTCTCTAGAACAGACACACCCTCTATGTCTAACACGCAATCATACTCTTCGTACCTCACCCTGACATTGACATCCACCTCATCCTTTAGAAGAATCGGCACATTATCTAACAATCCGTCGTCATAATAACCCCTATCAATCAGGGTGAACAGCAGAGGTTTAACATCATACTCATCATAAGCATCATACAGCTGTATCCACTGATTTACATCCAGACCAACACATACAAGATGCTTTAAAGCCTCACAATCACTTTTAACTACCGCATAATACAAATCTCCCCAGTCCTCCATACGCCACACTCTTCTCCGTGTCATCACCACGTCATCCTTACTATCAGTCATGACGTCACCGTGTCTTATATTTACCAAACACTCAAACAAATGTAACCTCAGTCTGTCTAACTGACTTTCATTCTCTGTTCTTAATAATTGCTTTACAAAACTAATTTAATTCCTAATTAATGCAATAAAGAATGCTGACATGCTTTCATTATTTTTGATAGTTGAGTCAACACCATACCCATCAAACATTCGTATTATAGCAGGGATGAAATTTTTATGAATGTTAAAAAAAGCTATATAAAGAGGAGTGTTTCCTGCCTTATCCTGCATATTGACATCACTTCCTGCGTCTAGCAGCTTTTTAGCTATATTCATATACCCATTCTTACATGCTGCTGTCAATGGTGTATCACACTCTCCTTGTAGATTGACATCAGCCCCTGCCTTTAATAGTTCTATAACAATACTTGTATGCCCCTTGTTACAAGCTGCTGTCAGTGGTGTATCGTCATCTCCTTGTAGATTAACATCAGCACCTGCCTTCAACAGCTCTATCACAATATTCAAATGTCCGTCATAACATGCTACTGTCAGTGGTGTTTCATACTTTCCATATAGATTTACGTCAGCCCCTGCACTTAGCAGTTCTTTTATAATACCCATATATCCACCCTCAATTGCTGCTGTTATCGGTGTTAAAAATTCATCCTGGGGATTAACATCAGCTCCTGCTTTAAGTAGCATTTTAACCACATTTATATATCCTCCTTCATATGCTAAGGTCAATGGCGTAAAGGTTAAATCCCATGCTTTACAATTTTTTCCCACGTAAATTGACATCAGCCCCTGCTTTTACTAGCTCTTCCACTATATCTTCATGTCCTAGAGAACATGCCACTGTCAGTGATGTATAAGATTTAGTTTTTATATCAACATCAGCTCCTGCCTTTAACAGTGTTATCACAATACTCAAATGTCCATTATAACATGCTGCCAAGAGTGGAGTTTCATACATACTTTGTATATTTACATCAGCCCCTGCTTCTATCAGCTCTTCCACTATATCTTTATGTCCAATCCAACATGCCGCTGTCATTGATGTATAAGATTTAATTTGACAATTGACATCAGCCCCTGCCTTTAGAAGCTCTATCACAATACTCAAATGCCCACCATAACAGGATGCTGTCAGTGGAGTTTCGTGTATATTTTGTAGATTAATATCAGCCCCTGCACGTAGCAACTTCTTCACAAAACCCTCATGCTCACGGTCACATTCTACTATCAGTTTTGTATGATAATAGTATTCATCTTGTAAATTTACATCAGCCCCTGCTATAAGCAGTTCTTTAACTATATTTAGATTTCCACCTTGGCATGCACTTTTTAGTGGTGTTTGAAAGTAACCTTTTAGATTAACATCAGCCCCTGACGCTAGCAGATCTCTTACCATATTTAGATTTCCACCCTCACATGCTGCTATCAGTGGTGTATGATTGTCTAACTTACCTTGTAGATTAACATCAGCCCCTGCCGTTAGCAACTCTCTAACTATATTTAGATGGCCATTCTTACATGCCACTTTCAATGGTGTATCTAATTTACCATGTAGATTAACATCAGCCCCAGTCAATAGCGGTTCTTTTACTATATTTAGATGTCCACGCTTACATGCTGCTATCAATGGCGTTTCTACCTTACCTTGTATATTAACATCAGCTCCTTTTACTAGCAGCTCTTTTACAACATGTAGATGTCCACCTTCACACGCACTAATTAGTGGTGTGTGAAACTCACTTTGTAGACTAACACCAGTCTCTGGCAGCTCTCTTACTATATCTAAATGTCCATCCTTACATGCTGCTGTCAGTGGTGTATCAAGCCCACCTTGTAGATTTACATCAGCCCCTGCCTCCAACAGTTCTCTTACTACATCTACATGTCCACCTTCAAATGCGGCTATTAATGGTGTTCTCCATTTTCCTTCTTGATTAACATCAGCCCCTGCCTGTAGCAGCTCTCTTACTATATCAAGATGTCCAGCATTAGATGTGGCTATTAATGGTGTTGCATCCCGACTTTGTAGATTAACATCAGCCCCTGCTCTGAGCAATTCCTTCACTATACTTATATATCCACCCTCACAAGCTGCTATTAGTGGTGTATCATAAACACCCTGCGGGTTGACATTAGCACCTGCGTTTAGCAACTCCTTAGTTATACTTATGTGTCCACTCTTACACGCTGCTGTCAATGGTGTATAATAATCATCTTTCGGGTTGACATCAGCCCCTGCTTCTAACAGCTCCTTAACAACTCTCAGATGTCCATCCTCACACGCGGCTTCAAGTGCTTCGTTTCCCAGTATATACTTAAAATCTAAATCTGGAAATGTCATCAAAATTGTATTTCTCTTCAGATATTTAATAAATATTCTCACATTGTCTAAATATCCATTATAACAACTCAGCAAAAGTAATCGCCGTTTTCTGAGATTGATCCATCAATGTCCCAGTCTGTGAATGACCATAAATTTTCTATTGGATCATTTGCTGCAACATTCTTTTTCCCTTCTTTTGTTGGATTCAGTAAATCAATATTAAAAAAAATCAAAAAAAGTTCAGACAGTGTTTCCTTGTGCGACTCAGTTTGTTCTAAAACATATTGCAAAATCCTTTTGTGTCCGTAGTAAACCACCCAACTGATAACCCTGACACTGTATGTTGTTTCTGTATTATCGTACTTTTCATTCACCAGCGCCACCTGTCTGCGCCTCTCTCTGATTCTCTCATCCATCTTCACACTATCCTCCATCACATGCTTCCCTTTACTCACAACCTTAGACACATCCTTCTGCACAGATAGAAATAAACATTTCAACTCTGTGTAAGACTTTGCCTCCAACACCTCAATAAAAGCCTGACATACCTGAGAATGTTTTAAGGTATCATTCATAAAAACATCATACAGCTCCATATTTTCTATATCTCTGTACAAACGCTCTGCTAACCTAGAGTACAGATCCTCCCCTAGCCTTATACAGAGATCAAATGACTCCATTCTATCACAGTGTTCAGCACTAAACACGACTCTCACCCCTTTCTGCAATTCCTTTTTACCACCACTTTTGACTGCAACTTTTTCACTTGCTTGCTTTTGTTCATTCTCTGATTTTAGCATTTCATCCTTGTGAAGCTTTACATAGTTAGCAATATAACTACAACTCATACATTGTAAAATGAGATCTGGGAACTGAGAACCAAACTGATAAGCAATGATTTCAAAAATGGAGTCATGAATAAAGGTAAACTCAGTACCACATAGTTTAGTGTATGTCCCCTCCATTACTGACAATGCTTTAATAAATTCAAATGAATCCGTGTAACTCTCAACGTCACAACTTTCTAATGCTTTTGATTTCATTTCGTAGAAAGTCTTATTTTCTATGTCTTGTAATATTTCTTTTGATAATTTATTGCCGTTTAACATGCACAAGACCAACGTAGCATACTGAACCTTATTCTGTTCTTACATTTTGTCAAACTCTTTTAAAATGCATTCAGTTGGACAAGTAAAGAACCTTTCAATGTTGTTCCTAAATTTCTCCTCTCTTGAGTAAAGTTTACACAATAGAGGAAACATCGCCGATGCTTCTCTAAGTAATGTAGGGGACAATAAATCTTTATCCAAGCCGTGCTTCTGAAGAATAGCTTTTTTGTCATCATCATTCAATGCATTTTCTGGACTACACATTTCGATAACGTTTTCCTCATAAATAAAAAATGAATTGGAACATTCATTAAAGATTGCTTCCCTATATGACATCAGTACCTTTGTACGTTTGGAGGTATCTAAAATAATTTTTTCATAGTCAACTAAAGTCTCTAACTTTTGTTTTTGAAGACCCAACACACCTACCACATTATCGATGACAAAAACCTGAAAATTATAGGGGTCACAATAACGGCAAATCTCACTGATGTCTATAATTGGTACAATCTCGTATCCATCCTTCTGGAGGATAAAGGCTATATGATGAATCGTTGCTGATTTTCCAGACCCTGGGACTCCAACAAATGTCATAAAACGTTGTCTCCTGACTTTGTTCAGCATTTCCTGGAAAGTGTGAGTTTCACTGTACACCTTGTCTTCTTCTCTCCATTGTAGTAATTGTCTTTCACGTAGATCTAAAATATATTTTACCAGGTTTGAATTATACTAGTGAAAAAAAGCAAACATACCTCAAAGTAAATAAAAACGTCCTTTTACATTCACGATCACTTGGGATTTTTTTTAAAAAAAAGTACTTTGAGACAAATCGCAAGCACATACTGTGGTTTCATATGTTTTCGTTGGCATCAATTTTCGCGGATTTTGTAAAAGAGACGTTTTCGAGGACACTTAAGTTCTTGGACAAAAGCATTGCCAATACAAATGAATGTCATCTTTCGTATTTCAATGGACATTTGAATTTGTGGATCTGCTCAACAACGAAATCCACGAAAATTGGTGCTCAACGAATAATGATGAAACCACAGTATATGCATTATGGCAATTATACAAATGTATGCAAAAAATCGAAAATTTATCGAGAGAGAGAGAGAGATAGATTTAAAAATCAAGTTAATTTTATACCCATTCGAATTTTATTTCGTTCCCATGAATTTGTATTTTGTTCCCATGAATTTTACATTGTATTTTGTGACCAAAAATTTTTATTTCTTTCCCACGAGATTTAATTTCGTTCCCAGTAATTTTTTTTTTGAGGCCACGAATGAATTAAGATACATCATAATTTGTCCTATACCAGTCATCGTATTGTTGAGATATCATTGGCTGGGGTCCTTTATAAGACTGGGTAAGGTAGTTTTGAACTCATTGAGAGTTTCTATAAGTGAATGATCTAATTCTGATAATGATTTTAATTTTACAACAAATAATTAAGGAAGATCCTCTAAAAATATGTTTGGACTTCTTTGGACATGTTTTATTGAAAGATATGGATGTTTTTTTTTTTAATATTTTGGTAGGATATACAGTTTTTATCTGGATGCATCTGATAGTATATATATATCTTGTATGATAAGAAGCAAAAAAAAAGATCTGCTGCATTTGATATAAATTATTATCTTGCCTACATCACAAACACAGAAAGCATGAAATTTACAGGTTTGGTTATTTAAGCAGATTTTAACAAATGTGCCTCCAGTTTGACTACTTTATATTAAGCAGTCGAAAAATCTTATTACTTACATGTACATCGCATTTTTAATATCTTACTGTTAGTTCAACCGCGGTTTCAAGAATATTGAACGATCCCAAGATCATAAATTTTCACAATTTAGTAAGTTCTTTCCTCATTCAGATCATGTAAACATTGATTGTCCTTCTTGAACAGGAGAAAGGTGGTATGGTTTTCTTTTTCGCATTTTCAACTTTAAACCTGACTATTATGTTATAACTGCTCATTGTGTTAATTGAATCAGTTTGGCCATGCAATGTTCCGAATCAAAGAAAAATATTTTCGGTCACACTCCGCATGCCTAAATTGCTACCAAATTCAATCAAATTTTATTCAGTCTTCCTTGAGAAAAAGTAAAAGTAAAATTAGCAAAAATGTCTTGGATCGAAAGACAAGGACACAAGCAAACGGATATGGGTGATCTGAGAGGCTCGGATGACCTAAATATAAACTCACCCATGTGACTTTTAACCGTTTCACACAATTCATCAATAAGTAAAAGTTTATCAATATGTTTGGCCTCTATCTCTGGATCCATGGAACATGCCCTTATATCGTTCACAGCTTTTTGATATAAAGTCAAATTTCCTAAGTGCTGCTTCAGCTTAATAGAATTGTTTTGCCATTCCTTTACGAAGTTTGATTCTGAGAGAGAGAAATCTGCTGCATGTCCAGAGTCTGCTTCTTTCTATGTTTGCAGATACACTATTGTCCGTAGGATCGGGTTCTTTTCCCCATCCCTTATTGTGTGGAGGAATTTAACACACGTTACGTAGAAGAATGTACAGGGAACTAATGTCAAAATCTGAATAATTCCACCATATTGTTTGGTGGGCAGAGGAAAGATGGGTGCAATCTGCTGTTTATTTAGAATATTCTTTAATTTCTTCTTTTTGAAATCATCAATCCAGATTTTGACAGTTTTCAATAAATTGGAAGGCGAGATTTTCCTTCTTAGAATAGCACGCACAAGATCTATACATGGGCCAAGGATTAGTCTTGCTACCCGGGCAAGGTTTGTGGTTTCTGGAGTAGACTTGTTTCTGTGAGGCGATATTTTGGAATTGACATTTTTCATCATCTGATAGCACTGTAAAATAAATTGCAGGAATAATCATACTAATATATTCTACAGTCCCTATTTCACCTCTAAATTGCAATGTTGTGAAATAAGATTATCGTTCATAGTGAAAGCACAAAATTTACCATAAAACCCCGATTTTTTTGCAGTTTATTGTTTTATACATTTATGTGTAAACAAACTACAAGTTTACGTTATGTAAATAATTATCTTCTAAGGAATTTTACTTCGGAATTTCAATCATTCATATGATTCTTAAAATTCTACTGACTGAGGCAAATATATTGCTGAACAATTTTTATGAAGAACTACTGTAGATGGATGCATATGATTTTAAAAAAGACAGAAAACAATGAATTACTCTGTGTTAAAAAGCAATTCCTCATTAAGTTTTTTTAATGATGTGTAGATAATAGATAAAATAATATTTACTATCATACCGATAATAAATATTATTTTCATATATATTTATAATGTAATAGGAAAGAAAGAACAGAAAATGCCATAGGACAATTTTACATTGTTGATACTATCGTACGTTATTTCCGTAAATTGTATCAAATACAAGTTTAATATAGAATGTAAGTTTAATCTGTGTGAAATTCAAGTGATTCATTGTATGTTTTATCTATATTTCAGGCTCCGTGGGGATCCGGGTTAGAATAGGTCCTCAGTACCCCGTTGCTGGTTGTAAAAGGCGATTAAATGGGGCGGTCCTTCAGATGAGACCGTATAAACCGAGGCCCCGTGTCACAGCAGGTGTGGCACGATAAAGATCCCTCCCTGCTCAAAGGCCCTGAGTGCCGAGCATAGGCCTAAATTTGCAACCCTTCACCGGCAATGGTGACATCATATCAGTGAAATATTCTGGAGAGGGACGTTAAACAGTATACAATCAATCAATATATATTTCAGTCTTCTACCACTAACACACATAATACACGTTGACGCAACGGTCACATCATTTTTGTTACCTTATGTTGGGTAAAATATCTGTAGAACTGAACGGATTCCTAACAAGACACAAGCGCACCCAGGTAAAAATTGTAGTTTGCTTTGTTTACAAATTAATTTATTTCACTTATCCACTATGTATAAGAAAAATGAAGAATTGTGAAAATGAATTATATTTAAATGTTCTACTGAAATAATGCCACTCTGTTGTGCACGTTGAGGTAAAATTTATAGAATTTGTAAAACTTAACAGGAATCCATAAAAAAGGTGATACTAAAATATAGGTAAAAACTGGACAGTCTTAATTTTCTTGGTTCCAGTGGAAATCTATATACGGAACATTCATTATTCATTATTGTAAGAAATAAAAATAGGTGTGTTCACGTATTTAAATGAGTGATACTGTAACATTACTTTGAATTGAATATCACTTATTCAACACAAGTAGGTGATATCGCCTATGTATATCTAATAGTTGATATCACAAATTAAAAATATTTTAAATTCAAATTTCCAAAATCAAATTTTGTTTTTTAAACTTTTGAGTTTTTCATCTACCGTTTGTTTAGAAAGCTTACGCTTAACAATCTAAAATTCTATAACTTTTTCGTCTTTTGGTAATTTAAAATTTATTTCAAACTCCCAACTGTTTTTAAAAACATTTTTAGAAATTTAGAATTTTGATTTAAAAATTCAACTTTTAAATAAACAAAACACATTTTGAGTCTTAAGACGTTAAATTCTACCTGAAATACCTAAAAATACCTGGTTTAAATTTTGGATATTTAAAGTAAAATTGCTAAAATTTAGTGTAAAGTTATTAGAAATTTTAACATTTAAAGCAAAATTCCTAATTTCTACAGATTTTAAACGTTTGAAAGTAGGTTTTTAGAAGTTTGGAGCTAATTTCAAAAAATCGAAAGACAAAAAATATTACCGAACTTTAGATTCATCGTTTTCGGTAATTTGAACTTTGAAAATTTTAAGGTAAAAATCTAAAAAAAAAATTAAATGTCTAAAACCTTATTGGAAATTTGAAGATATAGATTATTTAACTAAAATATGAAATTTCAATAATACCAAATCAGTTTGAGTTTTTTAATGTTAAGATAATTGAACTAATATATTAACATTCTAAAACTCTA